GAAACGGATGAGGATGAGGACGAGAATGCGGATGAGGAGGAGGACGAGGATACGGATGAGGATGGGGATGAAAGGGAGTAGGAGGAGGAGGATGCGGAGAATGAGGATGAGGAGGAGGATGCGGATGGGGAAGACCAGGATGATGATGATGATGATGATGATGATGATGATGATGATGATGATGATGATGATGATGATGCTGACGATGATCATGATGATGAGAATGTTGATGCTGATGCTGATGATGATCCTGCTGATGATGATGATGATGATGATGATGATGACGATGATGATGATGATGGTGATGGCGATGGTGATGGTGATGAGAGTATGACGATTCTGATGATGATGATGATGATGATGATGATGATGATGATGATGATGACGACGATCATGCTGATGCTGATGCTGATGATGATGAGGAGGAGGACGAGGATGCGGATGTGGATCATGATGATGATGATGATGAGGAGGAAATTGATGAGGACGAGGATGCAGATGAGGAGGAGGAGGAGGAGGAGGAGGAGGAGGAGGAGGACGAGGATGCGGATGAGGAGTAGGAGGAGGAGGATACGGATGAGGATGAGGATGAGGAGGAGGAGGAGGACGAGGAGGAGGAGGATAATGATGATGAGGAGGAGGAGGAAGATGAGGATGAGGATGAGGAGGAGGATCATGATCAGGATGATGATCATGGTGAGGAGGAGGAGGCAGAGGAGGAGGATGATGAGGATGAAGATGAGGATGAAAACGAGGGGGAGAAGGAGGATGAGGACGATTGTTTTTCCTCCGCCAGCCATCGGGCAGGACCGAGGGGGCAGCAGTTCGGCCCACATTGGAGGGCGCGCACTGTGAGCGCCCTCCCTGAAGCAAAACGATGTCCGATGCTGTTCGCCGGACGCGGCAGCACACGGATGACCGCTGCCGCTGGCGCCCACAGGGCGTGGGGGACGCGCGCAGAGAGCGCCCTCCCTGAAAACACAGCTGCAGCGTCCAAAGCTCATCGCCGGACTCGGCAGGGAGCAGGTCAGCCGCTGCCGCCGGCGCCCACAGGGCAGGGCGTGGACGCGCGCAACACAGCTGCGTCCAGTCCAGAGCTGATCGCCGGACCCGGCAGGGAGCAGGTCAGCCGCTGCCGCCGGCGCCCCCACAGGGGCGGGGAGCACACGGGCCAGCCGGCCTCCTGCCCAGGGCCTAGCGGGGGGCAGAGGTGCCGCCTGCCCCGCGCCCCTCGTCCCCGCCACGGGCCTGGCCGAAGCCGGCGCGGCCCGTCGGAGCAGTCGGCAGAGTGGGCGACACCGTCCATGGATACAACCTCCTCCTCCTCCTCCTCCTCCTCCTCCTCCTCCTCCTCCTCCTCTTCCTCCTCCTCCTCCTCCTGATCCTCCTCCTCTTCCTACACCGCAGGCGGCACGAGATGAGGCGAGGGGTTGACAGACAAGCGAAGTCCTGCCTGGCACCGCCCGGGCAGGGCTGCCCCCTCGAGAGACAGTGCAGACCTGCTGCTGATGGCGGCGGCCTGCCTGGCCGCCAGCTCTCTCGCTGGCACTCGTGCCAACAGAGCTGCCATTCCTGCCGTCTGCGGGAGCGCATCCAGATTACTATATGTACGTATATGCGGTCGTTCTCAGCAGGGGACGGGAGAGGGTGAAGGGAGAGGGCAGACTTGGCAATCGTATCAGCGAGGCTGCTACCAACGGCAATCCTCGTCTCCACGGGCGACGAGGCTCGATGAACTTCTTCGGAGCGGTGGGCAGGGGTGTGGGCAACACTAGGAATGTGGTCACGTTTTCATGCAGTACAACCCCCCTCCTAAAACCAGCATGCCTGTGTCGGGCCATCATCTGCTGGCCAGGTGCGGTCATGCACATCTTGACCACGGTCATGCAGTCGCTGAAACGCTGGCATGAATGCTGCACCAAAACAGGGAGCATCGTCATAGCCTGATGCTCCGCAGCTTGGGGCGTCCGGGGGAGGACGTCCCACACAGTGCCTCTGGCGAACGCAATTACCTCCTCGCCAGCCCCAAGAAAGACCCACGCGAACGAGGCACGGCTAATCTCACGCACAGCGTGGCGGTAGCAAGAGCCGTCGATGCAACCTTCGCACCTCTGCACATCGATAGACTCCCAGTCAACCTGCTCACCCTGGGGACTGTACAAACGAGGGTCGGGGTTGTCACACAGAGGTGGGTGGATGGCTTCGGGGTGGGGAAGTTTGAGCTCATCCCAGAGGAAACGATCTTCCGACGCCAAAGCCTCCTCGAGGAGATCGAGCTGCTCACCTAATGCTGCCGCTCGTGCAGAACGAGCCGGCTCATGTTGACAGTGCCATACTCGGTGCCGAGTGCTGTCCACGCCGGCGCACAGAGGGCATCGTCTGACGATGAGGATGAGGATGAGGATGATGATGAGGAGGATGATGAGGAGGAGGAGGAGTAGCATGAGGCGGAGGATAACGATGAGGATAAGGAGGAGGATGAGGATGAGGCTGAGGATGAGGAGGAGGAGGAGGAGGAGGAGGAGCATGAGGCGGAAGAGTAGGAGGATGACGATGAGGATGAGGATGCGGAGGATGAGGAGGAGGAGGAGGAGGAAGAGGAGGAGGAGAAGGGTGATGATGATGATGATGATGATGATGATGATGATGATGATGATGATGATGATGATGATGATGATGATGATGATGATGATGATGATGATGATGAGGATCGGTGTGATGAGGCGGAGGAGGAGGATGAGGAGGGGGGGGAGGAGGAGGATGAGGTGTATGCGGATGAGGAGGATGAGGATGATAATGAGGATGATGACGAAGATGAGGATTAGGATGAGCATGAGGATGGGGGTGAGAAGGAGGATGAGGAGGTGGAGGATAGGGATGATGGTGATGATGGGGACGATGATGCTGTTGATGATGACAATGATGCTAATGATGATGGCGGTGGTTATGAATATGCTGCTGCTGATGATGATGCTGATGATGATGGTGATGATGCTGATGATGGTGGTGATGTTGACGATGGTGGTAGTGATGAAGGTTTTGTCCTCCTCCGACATTCTTCTCCTCATCCGGAAATCTCCCCCTCTCCCGAGAACTTACCCCTCCTCCGAAGGCTTCGCCCTCATCCGATCCCCCCCCACACCTCCTCATCCGAGAACCTCCCCCTCCCTCCTCCTCTTCGGAAGACTTCGCCTCCTCCGAAAACCACCCCCTCATCCGAAAATCTCCCCCTCCCGAAAAAAAAACATCCCACTCCGAAGGATTTGTCCTCCTCCGAGAACTTCCCCCTCATAGGAATGCCTTCCCCCTCCCCCGAAAAGCTCCCCCTCCGAAGGCTTCGCCCTCATTCGAAAACCTCCTCTTCATCCGAAAACCCCGCCCTCAACCGAACACCAGCCCCTCCTCCGAACACGTCGCGCTTCTCGGAAAACATCCCTCTGACCCAAACATCTCACCCTCTCCTGGAAACCTCCCCCTCCGAAGGCATCGCTTCTCCGCAACCCTCCCCTTCATCCGAACAGATCCCCCTCCTGAAAACATCCCCCACAGGAGGAGGAGGAGGAAGAGGAGGAGGAGGAGCAGGAGGAGGGGGAGGAGGAGGATAAACTAACAGGACGAGGCCAAACAAACACTAAAAGGCGGAGGAGGAGGCGGAGGAGGAGGGGCCGCACCCCTGACTGGATGAGGAGGCGGAGTCCAGAGTTTGAAACCTCGATCGCCGAGCGTAAGGTTTTGAAGCTCAGGGATTCGGGGATCGACGTGTCCCATGCCCTGCCCGCCACCCTCCTCCTCCCCCTCCTCCTCCCTCGTCCATCCTCGTCCTCGCCTCGCTCTCTTCTCCCCCTCTCCCCCTTCGGTGCGCTCCGTCATCTGCTCCTCCACCCCTTGATAGAGAACTCCCGTGGATGGACAATACATTCGAACCCTTACACTTTCGAGGGAGATTCTAAATCACCCCCACGCCCCCGACATCAATGTTGATCTCAGTAAAAGCGGTGCCTTGGGGTTCGAAAATTTATGTCCGCTCACGCCATCAAGGATATGTTCGGGGGGTCTGGGGGACATCTTGGGACACAGGGTTCGAATACAATGTCCATGTACGGTCCCCTCCCTGTCGCACCCCCAGACGTATTGGCACGGCGGGCCGGGCGTTTCGCCTGAGACTTCTTCGCCACTAGTGATCCTGAAGCTCGAATTTTGCTGGCAGCAGCTTCAAGGATAAAGGGCGGGTGGTTTTCGGCATGTGGCTCTCGCCTTAGCGCCGCGCGCGTTCGTTTCAGAATTGTGCATCAGTTTCAAGGACGGGGCGCGGGTGGTTTTCAGCCTGTGGCTCTCACTTTAGCGCCGCGCACGTAGATTTATCGGTTGCACCAGTCTGAGCGCTTCGTATGGTCCCAGGAATGGTGTTCTGACACGGTTTACGCAGGATTGTCAGGGCATGATTCGCGGCGCCGAGGTCGCAGGAGGTGCGTGTGGGCTGTCGGAACGCAACAGTCATGCTGAAATCGCGGCGCAGACGTCCCAGGAATTGCGCTTGGGCGCGATTGAGGATTTTCAGACGGTCGTTTCCCAATCGGACGTTTCCCGCAATGCAAGTGCATTGTTGCAGGGATGTGGCATTGTGGAATTTGGTGGGAGGGTCCATTGCAATATCGTTGATGCGTCTTGGGTTTAGATTGGTCCTATCCCTCCTCCCCTCCTGCTCCTCCTGCTCCTGCTCCTCTTCCTCCTCCTCCTCCTCCTCTCCCTCCTCTTCCTCCTCCTCTTCCTCCTCCTCCTCCTCCTCCTCCTTCTCCTCGTCCTCCTAATCCTTGTCATCCTCGTCATCCTCCCTCTACCCCGTGCGCACGCTCCCAACACCACCTCCATACGGTTTCTGGTGATGGCGGCCCACCCGTGTCCTTTAGCAGATAGCCATGACAGTCCTGCTCCCCCCCTTTTGGGCTCGCTCCCCCTCCTCCGCCTGCACCTCCTCCTCTGCTCCCCCCCCCGAGCCGCTCAGCGAGGTGGCAAAGCAGGCAGACGTGTTCATCCGGTACAAGTGCAGGAAGGGAGAGTGTAAGACCTGCGCCGTCAACATCGACGGGAAGTGGGTGTCAGCCTGCCAGCAGCGGATTGAGCCTCAGGCTTCTATGGAGGGAGAGGGGGAGGGGGTCCTCCTCCTCCTTCTCCTCCTCCTCCTCCTCCTCCTCCTCCTCCTTGTCATCCTCTTCCTCCTCTTCCTCCTCTCCCTCCCTCCTTCAGTCTCTCATATTCCTCGTCTTGTCCCTTCTCCTTTCGTGTCTCCTCCTCCTCCTCCTCCTCCTCCTCCTCCTCCTCCTCCTCCTCCTCCTCCTCCTAGTCCTCCTCCTCCTCCTACTCGCCCCTCGAGGCTTCCCGCGTCCCCCTCGCCCCCCTTCCCGTCGCGTCTCCTCCTCGCCCCCCGCGAGGCCCCTGGCGAGCACTTCGCCGTCCGGGTGCGGCCTGTGTCCGAGAAGGAGAAGAGGAAAGAGAAGGTCCATGGATCTCCGCTGCGCTCCCGCTGTCCGCTTGTCCGCCCATGCCATCCCATCCTCCTCTACTCATCGTCCTCCTCCTCCTTCTCTCTTCTCTCCTCCGCTCCTCCTCCTCCTCCTCCTCCTCCTCCTCCTCCTCCTCCTCCCCCGTCCCCTCCTTCCCCTCTTCTTCCTCCTCCTCCTCCTCCTCATCCTCCTCCTCCTCCCTCCTCCTCCTCCTCTCTCCCTCCTCCTCCTCCTCCTCCTCCTCCTCCTCTCCTCCTCCTCCTCTCCTCCTCCCTCCTCCTCCTCCTCCTCCTCCCCCCTCCTCCTCCTCCTCCTCTCCTCCTCCTCCTCCTCCTCCTCCTCCTCCTCCTCCTCCTCCTCTCCTCCTCCTACGTCCTCCTCCTCCTCCTCCTCCTAGACTCTGACTTCGACTTGGACGACTTCTCGCCAACAGCGGTCGGGATGTCGCAGGAAGTGCTCGACAGCCTGGCCAGGGGCAGCCGAGGCGCGGAGAGGACCGGCCGGGGACGCGCTGGAAGCCGCCCCGTCAGCTTGCAAGGTGCCCGCCCGTGGCCGGGGGCGCGGGCCTGGGCGGGCGCAGCGCCCTCGCGCCGGGAGATCGGGCAGAGTGCAGCAGGCGACCGTCCGCCCCGTCTGCGGTCGGCATTGCAATCCAAGAGGGAGTCTCCTCCTCGTCCTCCTCCTCGTCCTCGTCCTCCTCCTCCTCCTCGTCCTCGTTCTCCTCCTCCTCCTCCTCCTCCTCCTCCTCCTCCTCCTCCTGCTCTCCCTGCGCTACGGAAAAACGTGGAAAAGGATTCTGGGAAAGCGCTGCTTCATGCTGAACGGTTGCTTACGGTGCAAAACATGAACACATTCATTCGCTTGGATCGCCTCTCGCTCCATATCCCAGGGCCGCCCAGAGAGCCTCAAGGACTGCGGAAGCCAGAACAAGAGCAGCCAGGCTGCAGCAGTTGGGCCATGGTTTCGGGCCAGGGTGCCAGTAAGCCCGTCACTCGTGGTGTACCTCATCTGCCGGCCCGCATGCTTCGGCCATCGACGGAACCTAGGGGACCGAGCTGAAGAATTTCTGATGCACGGAGCTATCAGCAAGCGGCCACAAGGCGAAAGGCAAGCGGACGCGTTGTTGCTTCGAGTTTCGATGGTAAGCCAGACGCGTGGGCCCTGGCGCCAGTCGTGCGCTGGGCCCAAGAAGTTTGGTCAGCAAGGGTCGGCAGAGCAGGTGCCCTCGGATCGACGAGTGTTCCCGAGCGGAAGCAGGTTTGGGAGGAGATCGCTTCTCGGGCCACGCTAAAGTACGTGCCAGTTCGAGGACCAGTCCCTGCTTGAGCTCACGCTCTTGATCGCATTCGCTGGAGCCCACCAGGTCCGTCCACCGTGCGCACGCACGACGGCGAAATCTTCAGCCTCTGCGATGTGTTGCCGAGTTTGCTGGATCATTGGTTCAGAGGGGCTTGCACCAGGACTCGGGAACTCAGGGCAGCCACATCGTTCAGCCCAGGACCGGGTGAAGTTCCAGCCAGGCTCTGTTGAGACACCGATCGCAAGATCCCCTTGCCTCCCAAGAGCAAGGACGAGCTGTCTGCAGCAGGGAGCGCCCTCTTGGTTGCCGCAGTTCGTCAAGGTCTTTGGACCACCCGGTGGGGCCGCGCAGGCGGGCGGCGGGCGGCCTCACTGAGGACAGATGCGCGCCGTGCGGAGCCAGCGGGGGCACGCTGTTCCCCAGGCTCGACTGCTGTGAGGCCCCCGAAGCTGCGCACGTGAGAATCGAACGAACAACAGATGATTGTCTGGAAGAGATCCGGGAAGCAGGAGAGCACAGCCTCTGGCCTTGTCTTGGTTCCCTGGAGCATCCCGAGGCCGATGCAGCTTGGTTTCCGCCCCCTGTGGGAGAACTGCGCATGCAAGTGGCGCAGATCGGTTCCGAGCCTGTTGTTGGGGGGTCTTGCTGTGGACATGTGGGCCCCCTCAGGGGATCTGAGGCGAAGCTCTCGTATGATAATATGCCTTCAGGCACTTTCAGGACAGCGCCAGGCAGCGACAGCAACAATGTGTGGAAAGCAGTGATACATGCGATCAGAGCCCGTCAGGACGATTCAAACATGAGCGCAACGGACGGACGGCCAGCCCATAGTAACCAGCAGTGTGACCAATCAGCGAAAGCGGCCCTTTCGATGCATCAGTCGTTTGCCCCGTCGTCGTTTGAATGCCTGCGGCATCTGCGGGATAGGGCCGCTGCTGCGTGACGAGGACATATTCCCGGCATGTCGGCCCTCTGGCTGCGGCACAGCCGAGAGGGTCGGCTTCCCAAGAATGGCCGAGTCCGAGGCCAGAGCTCGTGTTACGTTCTTGCTATTCACGGCTGGCTCCGTGCAGAGCACGTGCCATGGGCCATGGAGGCGGAGGAGGAGGAGGAGAAGGAGGAAGAGGAGGAGAGATGAGGAGGAAGAGGAGGAGGAGGAGGACGCGGGGACTGAGGGAGGAGGAGGACTTTGCTTTGAGAGGGCACGCCGAGCTTCGACGGGCCCCGTGGCCTCTGGCCACTACGCTCTTGCTGTTCACGGCTGGCTCCGTGCAGAGCACGTGCCATGGTCCACGGAGGTGTGCCGCGTGCTTCTCCTTTCTGGCGTTCAGACGCCGCGGTGGCTCTCCGCCACGGCGAGCGATGCCGCCCAGTGAGTGCGAGCTTCAGAGCAGGCCTCGGGATGATCCGCCGGGTCGCACAGGAAGCGACCCGGCGTCTGCAGCGGCGGGCGTATGGTGTTCTGTGCCACTTGCGGTCTGCGCACGACGTTTGCCTTCGGGGGCCTGCACGGTGCTCGCCCTGGGCCGCCCGAGAGCGGCAAGAGGTGCACTGCGAGACGTCGTCTTCCGACAGGGGGGTGCGTCCTGACTCGGGAGTCCCTGTCGAAGACGGCTCCTGTTTTCAGGCCCTCAGTGCCCACCAAAGGCAATGAGCCGTTTTGAGCCGTTGTGTCGGGCCCCTGGCCACAGTGGCCAGGGGCCAGCGGGCCCGTCGGAGCTCGGCGTGCCCTCTCAAAGCGAAGTCCTCCTCCTCCTCCTCCCTCGGGCCTCCTCCTCCTCCTCCTCCTCCTCCTCCTCCTCCTCCTCCGCCTCCCCGTAACCATTTTGGCTCAAGGCTCCTGTTTCCCCTGGGAACAAAATGGATACCGTTAGTCCGCGGCCAGTTTTCAGTGATTCTTTCAGGCCACCTCAGTCGAGCTGCGCGCTGCTGATGGCGAGCTTCGTTTTGCAGTGAGCTCCTGGCGGAGCAAGTTTGCCTCACGAGGAGGTCGTTTCATAGTGTGCTGGCCAGCGGATGGCCCCGCCCCCTGATGACAAGGAGTGGGATGTCTTGCTCGGCCCACGCAAGCCAGAGTGGGCGTGTGGCCAATGCACGCGACTACACAACTGGGCATCCAGAGTCAAGTGTGAGTGCGGGCGGGCGGCGCCAGCACACATTCGAACACGAGCCGTTGCTGCCCACAGGGTTGTATTGCCGCAGTTGGCGAGTGGCAAGGCGCGTGGCAGTGGCAAAGGACGTGAGAGATCAGACAAAGTCGGTGGCAAAGGAGACAAGCTCACTGCGTTGGAGAAAAAGCTGGACTCCCTCGTTACATCGCTTTCGAAAGGTACTAATACGAGTTCTTCCAAGCCTGCAGTTCAGCCGCCTTGGCAGGCCGAGGCTAACGCCAAGGCCCAAGAAGTGGCTGAGGCAGCTCCTCACACTGACGAAGGGCGACAAGCCAAACTTGCTGCTCAAGTCCAGGAGTTGAAGCTGTCAATCAAGTCGATGGGTAAAGGCGATGAGTTCAAGGAGATTCGGGAGAGCATGGAGAATAAGCTCACTGCACTACGGGGCCAGCAGGCACCTCGGCCGCCACGGCCACCACAGACAGCACATCGGCGTGCTGCCCAGGACCTCAGCAAGGCGAAGACGGCGATCGAGCAGATGTCGAAGGACTTGGTGGGAAGCGTGGCCAATATGAGAAGATGCGGGTCTCGATTAAGGAGCGTGAGCAGATGTTGGCGGCAAAGAGAGAGCAGCTGGTGGCATTGCAGGCGGAGTTCGACAGGACGGCGTCGTTGGTTTCCCAAGAGGTTGATGATGGTGTAACCAGAGTCCCTGCACCCGCGTTGCTCATTGATGTCGGCACTTTCAGGCGGAGCAATCCTGAGGCTGAGGCGTTCCTCAACAGTGAGATGCGGAAGAAGTTGCAGGGGCGCACTCGCTTCGTCCAGAAAGGGTCCAAACCAGATGTGGAGATGGGCTCTGAGACTAAGCCTGCTGCTTATGATGATGGTGGTCGGCCTGTTGACGCCCGCGATGGAGGAGCCGCTGACGCCGCGCAACTCAAGCGGAACAACGGGCTCAGTGAGCTCTCGAGTGAGGAGCGCGAGGCGTCGTGGGCGAACTGCTCCGGCTTCGAGGATTTCACAGCCAAGCTGGAGGAGGTCTACGCTACGAGGAAGGCAAGGCATGACGACAGGCATCCTGATGGACACGCTGCGACTGCTGCTTGTCCTCCTGGCGGCAAGGGAGGTGAGAGCGCAGGGCGCACCTTCCCTCTGAGTCCGACTTCTGATGGGCTCCGCGCCGATGGCGCCGCGCCCGGGGCTGCATTCCCCAGGGGCATGCGCTCCACTTTTGCGGAAGTGTGATGGTAACGGTTGTCTCTTGCCTCTCGCGGCAGTTTTTCGGCCCTCAGCGTTCCCGCCCTCGCAGCCAGATGTTGGGAAAGCTTCGGGTGAACATGCGATCGAGACCTTCAATTGCAGTGGAGGTAAGAGCACGCTCAAGAAGCGACTCAGTATGACGAGAGCTTTAGTAGTGATTATGCAAGAGTTTGGCCATGTGGCTGATCAGATTGAAGCAATTCAGGGATGGGCGCAAGTGCGTGGATGGAGTTTAATGGCGTTGCCCTCTTGCCCATCTGCTGGGAATGTGCCAAGCGAGGGCGTCGCTGCATTTGTGCGCAGTGCTTGTGGAGCTTGCG